GGCTGAATCGGCCACGAGGGACCGAAGCTCCATGGGCCGGTCACAAGGCGAGCTCACATCTGCGGCCGCGGCAATCTTTGCAGGGGGGGGGGGGGCGCAGCCAAAAGCCGCAGAGACATTGTGAATGAATGGGGGGGCGGAGGAGGAGGGCAGAAGAGGAGGAGGGATGGACGGCCCTCAGGAGCAGGGCTGTCTGCTCGGAGTCCGCTCGTCCATCGACGCCTGGCGGTCGCTGAGGTGAGGCACCCGTCGCTGCAAGGGGGGGACAGGTGGCCTGCCCCCTTGGTGGGTGGCCACCGCCGTCCAATTCCATGGACACGTGTTGATTCTCTCCAGAAACCACGACCACGGACGCCTCTAGGTTCCCTACGGGAGCCTCGTTCTCGGCCTCTGGGGGCAGGGTGGAACCTGCAGCTGGGCCTCCGTGCCTCACATAAGGCACCCTTCACAGTACCTCTAGTCAAACGGTGCATTGCTGTTCCTCCTCGGCCTCCTGCAGGGGGGGGGTGCAGCCAAAAGCCGCTGAACACAGGTACACGGTGGGGGGTGGAAGCTGCAGGGACATCACGGCAGTGCGCCGGCACAAGTGGACCACGCTGGAGGGGGCGGTGCCACCGCCACCGCTGACCGACAGAAACGGGATGCAAGAGTACCAGAGTCACAGAGGGCGGACCCAGGACCAGCGGCGGCCCCCCAGGGAGCCCGGCGCCAGGATGCAAGCCACAGGAGAGCCCGCGGGACACGCGGTCCGTACCCACAGCATCCGCTGAGTCCACACTTCTGCACAGTACCTCAAGACAAACGGTCCATTGTCGTTCCCCTCGGCCTCCTGCGGGGGGGGTGGGGGGCGCAGCCAAAAGCCGCTGAGCACAGGTACACGGAGGGGGGTGGACGCAGCAGGGACATCGCGAAGCGTCAAGAATTGAGAGGAAAGTCGGCGGCCGCATGCTGGAGGACGGGATGCTGACCTGGTAAAGGCTGGGAGTCCCGCGAGCGAAGCGGCAACACGATGTTGAATGAGAGATGTGGCCGGCGCCTCGGCGAGAGCACGGGGCCCGGTGAAAGCTGTCTTCTGTTTCCGCCGTTTGCCCTCCCCTCCTCCTGCTCCTCCGTGCCCTCCTTCCGTCTTCCTGGGGCCCCTCCTGTTTCTCGCAATCCTCACCGTTCCTTCCTCTTCCTCCTTTTTCTCCTCCGTCCTGCCTCCTGCTCCTTTTCCTTCTTTGCCACGCGGGCCCATTCGGGGCGCGGGCCAGCCGAGCCAAGGACGACGGCTCAGGTCAATCAGAGTGTAATGAATTTGACAGCTCTAAGACTGAGTGGAGTTCCTGTTGGTGCTTTTGTATACCATCGGAAGGCCTTCTTGGTCTGTCCTGGGGCCCTCGTGGGCTGTCTGGGGGGGCTTGGGCCGTCCTGGAGCCGTGTTGGGGCTCTCTCGGGCCCTCTCTGAAGCATCCCGTGGCTCTGTTGGGGCCCCCTTGGAGGTCTTTTAGGGGTCTTCTTGGGCGCTCCCTGACTTTCTTGGCGTTTTATTGGCCCATCTTGGGGCCCCATTGGGCCGCCTGGAGGCCATCTCAGGGCGACCTCGGAAGCTCGCAGACCATTCTTGGGCCGCTCGTGGCCAGAAAAGGCGAGAAGCACAGAGTCGTTCAAAAACCAATGGAAAATGAAGGTTTTTGGCCTGCTGAGGCCGTATTGGAAGTCTTTGCGGGGGCATCCTGGGCCGTCTTGAGCCCATGTTTGGTCCTGTTGGAGCACTCTGGGGCCGTCTTGGGGCCTCTTGGGCCTTGCAGAGGACGTCTCCGACGTGCCTTCTGCTGTCTTGGGCTCCCGATGTAGGCCTCGTGTCGCTCTCTTCGGGGTATTTTGGGCCGCCTCGAAGCATTGTGGGGCTCTCTTGGGGGCCTGTGGGGTTCATGTGGGGTCCATGTGGGGGGGGGGTCGGTGACATGCCGGGCTTTTCCTTGTAATTTGATAGGTAGAAGGATATATAATATATATATATATATATATATATATATATATACACATATATATATATATATATATATATATATGTGTGTGTGTGTGTGTGTGCGTGTTCGGGGCACTCGGTTTTGAAATCCCTACGGTACGTAAAGCTTGAAGGGTTTTGCCATGCGCTCGCGACGACGCACGCGCGTGCACTTCGTTTGCCTGTCGCAAGGAATTCCTTGCGACAGCACGAGAGCAAACGGCGCTCGAGCGATCCCGACATGCGCGCGCGAGAAGCCCGTCCGGCGCGAAGTTCGACAACATGAGAAGATGGCTATTCTTCTTCTTCTTCTTCTTCTTCTTCTTCCTCTTCCTCTTCTTCTTCTTCTTCTTCTTCTTCTTCTTCTTCTTCTTCTTCTTTTTTTTCTTCTTCTTCTTCTTCTTCTTCTTCTTCTTCGAGTCCGAGCGACACCTGTTCTCAAGCCTCCAGTGTGCGAACCAGTGTGCTGCGGCACGCTGCGCGGGGCACTCGGGAGGGACATCCCCCACGGCTTCGAGGGTGGAGGGGCCTCCGGCACGCGCGCGCGCGGACGGCGCGCGCGCGCCGAGCTTCGCTCCCACTGTTGGCCGCGGGGCTCCTGGCCAAGATCCCTTGGAATGCACGCGCGCGCGCGCGTCCATTCCACCGACGGCGTTCGATGCGATAACGAATGGCCGCGCATAACGTTCGTTCGTTCGACGAATGGCCGTTCGTTCGTTCGACGAATGGCCGCGCATAACGTTCGTTCGTTCGCGATGCGTTCGTTCGTTCGTTCGACGAATGGCCGCGCATGACGTGCGTTCGCACGTGATGGGGGTGGGTCGTCGAGGTCGGCTTGCCTGGGGTGCTGCGAGCTCATATATTTGGGGTGGACGATGGGGCGGGACCATCTGGAAGAGGCCATACGAGAACAAAGGAACCGTGCATTGTTGGAGGAGGTACATCCCGATGTTTTTTCCAAGAGGAGCAGTTGTGTTGCGCAGCCTACGTAATGCAGTGCACCCTGCCGAGCTTGACTCCAATGCTCGCGCAGCCATCCCACCCCCCCACCCACCCACCCGCAGCGTGGTTTGCAAAACCCGAGCGGCGACGATTGCGATGAATGATTGGCGTTGGCTGGTGTATCTCTGCGGCCGCGCTAGCCCGCGCATGCTCGCGCGCGAAGCAGCTAGGTAGTTTGACGCGACCGACGCGGATGTGGTGGCGCTGGCCGCTGGGCACTTCCCAACGGGTACTTCAGTACGAGTCCGCGATTTGGGCGGGAGCGGTATCATGGCAACGTAGACAACGGTTGCCACGATGATGGTAGTAGCGATGCTGGTGCCAATGATGACAGCGACGACGGCAAAGCCAGTGACGGCGCCGATGCGAATCACGCCGACGACGATGACGGCGTCCTCGCGTCGGCGATGAAGGCTCCTGTCGAGGGAGTACGACATCCGCGCGCGGCCGACGCGCGAGAGTGGCCTGCATGGTATTACTTGACACGGATCGTGCCCACCCCCCGCACGCGCGCAAGGGCGTTCGAATGAGTTCGACGCGCGGCGCGAAGAGCCCGCTTGGCAGAACAGGATGGCAATGTTGGAAACAACTTCTGGCTTTCTGAAGAATTCGCAGAAGCGCGAGCGCAGGCATTTTCGAAAACTGATGTTGCAAAACCCTGGGCTCCTAGATGTTTTCGAAACATTCGATTTGGAAATCGCTACGAAACGTGGGATGTTTGAAAGATTTCGGCATGCGCACGACGACGCGCGCGCGTGCAGTATGTCCCAGTTTTTGCACCAGATTCTTGCGACGGCACGCGCGCAAGGGCGTTCGAGCGATTTCGACATGCGCGCGCGAGAAACCTGATTGGTAGCAAACTATGAACATGTTGAGAAAAACTATGGCTTTCTGAAGAATCCGCAATAGCCCGAGCGCAAGCCATTTTTTGAAAACAAACAAAAAAATGCGAAACCATGTTTTGTTCTAAATAATGTTTTTTCGGAACGCTCGGTTTTGTAACCTTTACCCAACTAAACAGGTGTTGGAAAGATTTCGGCATGCGTGCGCGACGACGCGCGCGTGCGCACTTCGTCTCATTATGTTGCCAGGGAAATATATGATAAACGGGTGCGCGCGCATAGTATATTTTTGCTGAGCATGGAGGGGGGCGATACCAGCCAGCCTGGGATGGTAAGACTTCAGATTAGGATGGACGAAGGGGCAGAATCATATGTAAAATGCAGTACGAAAAGGAGAGCGTCAATTCCGGAGGAGGGGAGGGAGTAGATCCTAATAGTCATTCAGAAAATAGAATCTAGGGCGGCGACGGGGCGGCGACGGCGACAACATAGCCGCCAGACCACCACACCGGTCCAGACAACGAGCGGCGACGAGGCGGCGACGGGGCGGCGACGGGGTGGCGACGGCGACAACATTGCCGCACGACCGCCACACCGGCCCAGACAACGGGCGGCGACGAGGCGGCGACGAGGCGGCGATGGCGGCCACACAGCCGCCAGACCGAATACACGGCCCAGGTGACGGGCGGCGACGAGGCGACGACGGGGCGCCGACGAGCACCTTGTTAACAGCATCGTGTTGCACAGCACATCTGTGAGGCCTGAGCACTCGCCGTCCAAGTAGAATGGTACATGCGCAACTCCCTGACTGCAGTGCAGTACGGATAGGCATATGTGTCCGAGACGTCTCCAAGTCCCGATCGCGCTCACCAGTAGCATTCTAGCAGATCATGCCGACGCGGCAAAACTATAGAAATGATCCCACAGCCGCCCTTCTGCAGACGCACTCTGACGATTCCAATGCAGGAGCCCCATCGCGAGCACCACGAGCAGGACCAGCGCTGCGACAGAGGGGGGGCGCCATGTGGACGCGCGGTGTGGAATTGCGCACGGCGGCGCTGGCCGCCCCAGAAGCATCATCTCCGAGCAAAGAGGGCTCGGAGGAGAAGGAGAAGGAGGAGGAAGAAGAGGAGGACAAGGATGAGGAGAGAGGAAAAGGAGCTGACGAGTCCTGGTCGCCCTCGCGGCGCACCAGCGCCGCCCCCATGCGGCCGAACCAT